CTTTGCCATTTCTCGTTTCCAAGCTCTTGAGAAGCCACTAATCCAGTTTGAAATTGTCGTGAGTTCAGGTATGTCGGCACCACTAATTTCACCTTTCTGCGAGCATTTGAGTAATTCTTGTTGCATTTCTGTTGCTGTTATTTTATTTCGTGGACTTGCAGTTCCGGTATAGAATATAGTTTCTAATAAGCTTCTGACTTGAGGTGTAAGTCGTTTTACTAATCTTTTTTTTTGCTTTTTCTTAAGACACCAACCAGCGACAAATACCTGGTAACTAGTACATAAAAGTATAAGAAGCAAAATGAGGAAAAAATAAGAAAAAATAAAATGGAGAATTGTAAAAGAAAAGGGTGAAAGCAAAGAAAAAGAATGAGGAATAAAAAAAGAATAAAGGTAAAATGAATGAAAAAAAATAAAAAAAAATAAATAAAACAAGAGAAAGAAAAAAACAAAAAGCAAAAGGAAATGAAATAAGGGTAAGAGAGAATGTAAAAGAGAAGAGGCCAAAGGATAAGAATAAAGAAAAGAAATATAAGAAAAAGAGTGAAAGTAAAAAGATGAAGGTAAGAGAATGCGATAAAACAGGATTAAAAAGATCGAAAGTAACAGAAAAGGATGAGAAGAATAAAATAAAAATGAGAAAAAGAAATGAACGAAGGTAAAAAAAAAGAACGAAAACGAAAAACAAGTATAAAAATGAAATAAAATAGGAAAAGAAAAAAAAACAGAATAGAATGAGGTTAAGTGAGCAATATTAGAAAAAAGGATGGAAGGAAAAATAATGAAAGTGAAAAACAAAGGTAAGAAAAAGTAATATAAATGTTGAAAAAGAAAGGAGCAAGTAAAAGCGAAACAAAAATAAAAAAAAGGATGAAAGTAGTAAAAATAAATGAAATGTAAGATACAAATAAATAAAGCAATAAAAAAAATATAAACGAAAGCATGAAAAATAAAGTTGAAAATAAATAAGCAAAAATTTAAAATTTGAATAAAATATATGAATGCATTGGAAGTGAGTGAAAATCAAACCTAAATGAAAATTTAAAATATAAACAAATAAAATATTAATATATAAACCGATGTGAACAAAAGTAGACAATGAAACATAAAAGATGCAAATGTTAAATGTGAAGGTAGTAAATATTAAATAAAGCTCAATAAATTCATGCAAGAAAAAATAAATAAATAAAGCTAAAATATAACCCATCGGGTCCAGTGCAAACATCCATTTCAACTGCATTAGTTAAATCGATCGTTTCCTGAATCATGTATAAATTATTTTTAGTCATCTATTTGTTGTATGCAAAAAAAAAAAGGAAAATTATATACGGGATCATTACTCTCATCTTCATCTACCAAATCGTCATCTGGTGAAACTAAAAAAAATATATAAACTCTTGAGTTAGCATCTTAACAAAGTATCCACGGGTATTAAGCACTGGATAATTTTATTTGAACTAGAAAATCAAAAACCGTGGTACTGTTTAGCACTGCTTACAATATCCCTCTATAAAATACTTTTATAAGCAAAATTTCATAATTGCACCATCTATAATCAGGTTTTCAATATTTTTGTACCAAACACAATTCCCAATAAATTAGATAGTGCCTAATATAAAATATAATTGAAAGCCCGAAGTTCTATTTTTCCTTATATATGATTTTTATATAAATACGCTTTTCTTATTGTTCTCAAGTGCATATGCTAAAGATTGGTTCTATGAGCTACACTCAGAGGTTTTGCTCTAAATAAAACTAAAAGAAATTCATGAATAAAAAAAACTGCGAATAAAAAAAATCATATTCAAGAATTCTGAGTCAGGTTTTGATAATTCAAAAATTTTTCATCTTAAAGTTCTTATATCCTAACTAAAATTCACTTCTAAATCTCAAAATCAGCTTGATGCAGGTTAATATTATCGAATAATCAACAAAATCTAACACAGATTTCTTTCAATAATCCTAGATAATGTAAGCTATACAAAACAGTATACCCTATAATACCCAAATAATAAATGTTTATGACCTTGAATTTCTGATATTGGTGTAGTTCAAGATTTGCTCAGATAACTGTGTGTAGTAATGCTTGGTTCAGGTTTTTTGATAACATGCTTCTTTATAATTTTTTGTATATTTGCAGGCATGAATTTTT